CTCACTGCAGTTGGTACGAATGAATTTCTATATCTGTCTGTTCTTGCTTTTTTGGAAATATTGTTCTGTCGCAACACACTAAATATCCGGGACTTATAATACTTTAACGCCCCATCCCCCCCTCCCCCCCGCATTTTGACACTCTGTTGCCCTTGAGCGTCGAAGGTTGTGGATGGTAAGACAAAATTGAACAAACGTTACAGGGTTCTGTTCAGGTCAAGCAGCGTGTCTTTGGGTAAGACACTTAACAGACTACACTTTCACCACTTGACATTGGGCAGAATGGGTACTACGCCAAAGTGTCTGGCCAGTACACAGAGGCTGAGTCACAACAAGAGACAGAGAGAAAGAGAGAGAGAGAGAGAGAGAGAGAGAGAGAGAGAGAGAGAGAGAGAGAGAGAGAGAGAGAAAGAGTGAAGGTGAGAGAAGGTTCATGTCAACAGTCATACTGGTTGTGTGGGCTTGTGTGTGTGTGAGGTGTGCATCACTATGTATCACTGCACATTTATAATAAGTGTAACAAGTGCATTTCTGTAATGCTGAATCTTTTTATATTTGATAGTTTGGTATCTAACTAAAATTTCCCTCATGGATCAAATAAGTTTATCAAATTTCATGTTACCTTATGTTTTACTTTCCCATCAGCACATTTAGACTTAGATACATTAGAAAAGAGATTGCCAAGCTAAATTAAATTTCTCAAAGCCAATTCAGGTTCAGCTGGTATATTATATCCCAACAGGATACATTATGATTAAACATCTCTTTCATAACATGTCAATCAAATGTATGTATTTTCAGAGAGCAAGGCCATTAAAGTTACAGAGACTTTCCAATCCACCAGATACTGTATCAGCATTTTTATGGCACTTTAAAAGTCAGAGTAGATTCATTAGTCAACACTGTACTAGACTCAAAATACTAGATTATTTCTATGGTAAAGACTGAAATTCTACAGGTGCCTGGCCAATTGGAAATCAAGAAAGAGAAGGCTTGAAAAACTTACTACCAAATTTAAAAGCAACCTAAAATAAAGATTCCTATTTGCAGGTTAAATTTATAACAAACAGGACTGCAGTTTACTATTGACTACAAGCATTGTGTCAAGCATTAGCAACATAGCATATATTGTATAATTAAAGAGCAGGACTGATTATCTTGCATTCTTTTCTGTTGGCACTAGTGTAACGTTTTGCTTTTTTACTAAACTAGGCGATGTATCCTTACTTGATCATTATAACTATTTTTCCGGTGATCCAGGGGGAAGAGAATACATTCAATGAAGAGAGACCAATCTGAACAAATGCAATGAAACTGCATGACAATATAGATTCTATTGGGATAGTCACTTCCTGATTTATCTAATCTCTTCATTTTCTAACATTTTTACTTAAAATTTTTCAGAAAAACAGAGCTGCAATGAAGAATTAGCCAAAACTTTCTCAAATCATTTTTCAAAACAAGATTACAATAAAATAAATATAATATTGTGTATAACAAAGAAAGTGGCTATTCTCACCCGCCCGGAAGTTCTCGCAAGATCAACTCCTCCCCTCTTCTCTCTCTCTCTGTCTCTTTCTGAATACTGTCTATCGGTGTGGACGATCAAATTGACCAAAACAAAGTTAAAAAATGATGTTAAAACACAAAAGTAAATTAATTTGGTTGTCTACAAAGATGCTACGGCTATTTAACTTTTCGAATCGAGCCGAACTACGCGGGTCGCCATTTTGTTTTGCCCGGAAATTCTCGCGCTACTCCTCTCTCTCTTTCTCTCTCTCTCTCCACTGCCCACAGACAAAATTGTACGCTTTTAGTAGTCTACAGTTGTAATGGAACATTTGTTCACGGCACAGAATTCTACAATTTTTCTGTTATCACAGTGTAGAATTCTGTGGTTTAGGTTGAACGCAAAATTTGGTGAACGCGCACCGGGTGAGAATAGCCACAAGACTCGCCTGCACTATTCTCACTCCGGGTGAGAATAGAGGTGGCCATAACAAATGTATGAGAGTTAAAGTTTAAGTCAGTTCCAAGCACAACTCACCACTTGCTTCCAGCTTCTTTACAAAAGCTAGGGTATCAAAGTAGTACACTTGATGAACCAGAGTTGGATCCACATGTCTCGATGTCAGCACTGACCCAGGATCAGACTCTGTGGAAGATTTTAAGAAAATATATTATAAATCAAAGTGGAACAGGTTTCAAGACCATAAATATCTCAGGCAAACGATGACAAATCCCTGTGTTATGGTTAAATAAGCAACATGATTGCAAATTCATGAATTCATCACCACATGAGGTTAGAAAAAACTTAGAAAAGACTTTTCTGACACTTACACAGGTCACCATTCTCTCAACTGCAGAGTTTATACATCATGTGACTTGTAAATTAAATGAGGATGAATGGCCACAGTATTCTGAACTACATATATATAAAATTTGCTGATGGCTATTGTTAGGGGACCGTACGCCCCAATAGCGCTTGGCGCTAGGGGACCGTACGCCCCCATAGTGTTAGGCGCTAGGGGACCGTATGTCCTACCTGCGCTAAGGCGTGGTGTTACGGGACCGTAGGCAGATATGCATGCATCTGGACTTTGCAAAAATACTGGAGGAAAATGGCCTGTTTAACGAAGCTCCTGACGTAAGGAGTTATTACTAGGAGAATGTTTAAAATGTCTGAATACGATTGTGAGGTATCTAGTGGCCGTGGGTGAACCAAAATTTGAAATTTGCTCACGTCTGCACCCACGTTGTTATGTGTCAATAAAAGTAAAATCAAAGAGAGGAGAGAGAGAGAGAGAGAGGGGGAGAGAGAGAGAGAGAGAGAGAGAGGGGGGGGGGGTGGGACGAGTTGGCGAAGGGAATGTGGGGGCGAACGATGGGGTCGGCAGGGTATAATTATGCTATTAGATCGAGAAGAGATCATTAATCAGGTAACGCCTTGCGTGGAATATGAGTTAAGAGTACACATTAAATTCATAGTATACCAACTTACGCCTATAGTGCTGTAAAAAATGCACGGCGCAACTTATTGTGAAATATCTTCTTACCTATCGAACATAGGCTCCAACTTTTGCACAGTGACTTATAACTTATATCAATTTGTCTTAACAGGTGAATATTGTTTCAAACTCCTGCTCACTGTATTCTAGAAAATTCCTTAATAAGTACTAATAAAAAATCCCAGTCGATTGTTTCTGCAAATTTTAAAAATTTTACAGCTCCGGCAATATGGCTTTTAAAAGCAAGTCTGTCATTTTTTTTCCAATCGCAATAGCATGCATGCTTATTGAACGTATGTTTAGGAAACTTTTAGTGTAAAAAGAATGTGTTCATCATAAAAAACATTTTTGTATGAAGTTTTGCCACTAAAAAGTGTCATTGGCGAGCTATGACATAGGCCATATGCGTATGCAAATGTGTGCGAGAAGTGCTATGAACAATCACATTTTTCGCGTGATGGAGATTTATAGGCCTAGTGTTTTATATACATTTATGAAGAACATTTTTTTGATCGAGTCTCAATTGTTGTGGAAAAATATGATTCAGTTAAGACATTTTTTAATACAAACTGCTGTGCAAAGTATGGGTGACAATGATTCTCCCGTTAAAAGAGATATTTGAGGAAAAGTTGCACCACGAATTTTTGACCGCTCTATAGTTACACGACACCTGCGCGCAAAAGTAGTCCAGTTATTATTAATGTGGACAGGCGTATAATATTATGTGTAATGCGCTTGCAAATAAACTTTAATTCGTCGGTGCTTAGTTCACAACCCGACGTTCTGTCAAGTCTCTACAATAGTTTGCTTTGCTCTTCATCTACCTTTTCCAAGCTGTCTTTTTCCCCCTTTCTTTTCATGTTATTGTTATTGTCACTGAATGTGAGTTGATCTTGCGTCTTGCGCGCTATCACAACTGTGTGCGTGCTCAAGCGTGTTCTCTCATGCAAAAGTGAGTAAATTTCCGGCGTTTGTGTAAATTTGTTCATCTCTCTCTTTCTCTCATGACCTCCCCCCCCCCAATCTCTCTCTCTCTCTAATACACACACACACACATACTCACATTTTGTCTCCCTCCCCCTCTCTCTCCCGCTCCTTTTTACTTTCTTACTTTCTTTCTTTTTTTTCTTTCTCACTTCCTTTCTGTCTGTTTCTCTCTCTCTCTCTCTCTCACACACACACACTCTCTCTCTCTCTCTCTTCTCTCTCTCTCTCTCCCGCTCTCTTTCCCCCTCTCTTTCCCTCTCTCTTTCTCTCCCTCTCTCTTTCTTTCTCTCCCTCCCTCTTTCTTTTTCTCCCTCCCTCTCTTTGATTTCTTTTATTGACACATAACAACATGGGTGCAGACGTGAGCAAATTTCAAATTTTGGTTCACCCACGGCCACTAGATCTAGATACCTCACAATCGTATTCAGACATTTTAAACATTCTCCTAGTAATAACTCCTTACGTCAGGAGCTTCGTTAAACTGGCCATTTTCCTCCAGTATTTTTGCAAAATCCAGATGCATGCATATCTGCCTACGGTCCCGTAACACCACGCCTTAGCGCAGGTAGGACATACGGTCCCCTAGCGCCTAACACTATGGGGGCGTACGGTCCCCTAGCGCCAAGCGCTATTGGGGCGTACGGTCCCCTAACATCAGCCTTTGCTGATTAGGTTGAACCAGCTATTGAAGGTAACAAACATTTAATTTATTGGACATCCCCCATCCTGATTATACTTAATTCATAGGCCTAAATTTAAAACAAACTCCAAATGTGTTGAAGAAGAATTAAGAAACTTTCCCATTCACTTGAAAGTGATCATGATCTTAGACATCTTGAATACATAAAAATATGCATTTTACATGACTCCTTTTTTTTTTTAGTAGTAGGCCTAAACATATCCTTGTATTAATTTTAGAACTCTCATGAATTTGTTTTATATCTTTACTGGCTTATGAAATCCTCTTTAAAAATCTGTTTTGAAAAAAAAGCACTGCAATGATGAGTGAAAGTTCTAGGCCTACCTGCAGATTTGTCTCTGAGAACATCATCGAAATTAGTTTTCAGAAGTTTATATTCCACAACTGCATCATTTTCCGGAAAGGGCGCTTGCCCTTTACTATCTGACAGTGACTGTGGTGTAAACACAGGAGGAGTATTCGTCGCTTGTTCTGGGACCGGTATCCTCTCGGAAGTCTTGAGGCTGAGTTTATCATCATAATGACTTGATGATGAGCCAGCACTGTAACTCTTGCGAGAAACACTTCCTTGTTTTACAGCTCCAACAAATGACTTGAAAGCTAGAGCCGACTCTGAAGTCCGTCCTAATGATAACCGAACAATGATCGTCATAGCGGATTCCAGAGCCTTCCTCAGGTCTCTCAATGCTTTTTAAAAAGTTATTCAATACAAATGCCGTGCCGTAAGTTGATGTGTGTTTAAAGATTTTGGTACTAGAATCTGGAGCTACCTTTTCAGACTTTCTGCTTTTTAGTTACTGTTTCTTCAAACTCTAATCTTGTCTTTAACTTTAGTCTGTTGAGTTGATCTAGAATCTAGAATTAGATCTAACTACTAGATCTAGATCTATTCTATCAACTCTTTTAAGGTAACAAAGAAATTGACTTGTGAAAAGCCTTATATTTTAATTTCAATCGACAAGGCGACAAGGAAAATTACTCAAAACTGCCGAGAAAATCTTGTCCAGACCACGAGTCTAAATGCAAGAGAAATATAAGTCCTACAAAATTCCAACAGTAACCGTAATAATGGGGAAAAGCAAATTTTCCACCCATTAATTCAAGAATCAATCAATGTGACGACAATCGTCAATGATCAACCTGTGTCCTGACCTTTCCAACTTAGAGAGAGACCTCGGTAGGCCTAGATCTAGATTTAGATCTAGATCTAGATCTCTAAAATTTAGGGCGTTTGTTTATTTTCTACGGCGTTTGCCAAATCTTCTTCAGACTGATTTTAGCTGACAAAGCCTATTGAATTTCTACAGTACAGCGGGTGACTTCATCGCTTTTCACAAAATACCGAAAAGAAAGTTCAAGCGAGGACAAATCAAACAACCTAACCTAGATAGATATTTATGTAAATGTAGGCCAGGGGAGCGATGTTGGCCCAATTACTAGCCTAGCTCTGTGACTGTTCAACATTCAACATCCAACTGTTTATTTTTTCACAGTTGGCGAGAGTTGTCACGCCTGTTTAGGGAGCATCAATTACGAGAGATTTAACTGTTACAGAGAATACAATATCTTACTATTTTATAAGTATAATTAATTTAAAACATTGTTTTTAATATAATTCATTTTTTACATAAAATGTTATATAGTATTCTATTAGCTCTTAAAGATGGAAACAAATCCTTTAATATATTTAATAAAACAATGACCCTGCTCCTGCTAGCAATTAGTGATGGGCCGATACCACAATTTAGGTATCCATGTCGATACCTAGTACTTTTTCAAGGTATTGATACCGATACCTCGATACCTAATGCTATTGGTAACAATTATACGCCGGGGGTAATAAATAAAGACAAAAATACAATTATATACTTTTCCAAGTATTTAGGTAATCGTGTCTAGACAAGTTGTGACTATTTAGCTGAGACTCAAACAAAAATTATTTGTAAAAGAGAGAGAGAGAGAGAGAGAGAGAGAGAGAGAGAGAGAGAGAGAGAGAGAAAGAAATACCCAAATATGAGAATAAAAGCAAAAATTAAGTGAATATGGGAGGAAAGTCAACTTTGCAGAAAATGTTAGTATTGGAAAATAAAAACACAAGAGTTCTAAAAAAGCAATTCAATTTACCAGATTTTTAGCAACTTTAAATTTAAACCAATGAGGATAAATCAGGGTTGTCAGTGAAGATTTTGCAAAATCACTAGATACATTTCATGAAAAACTTCTCTCTTTTATTAAAAAATCACTAGATTATAGATTAATTTAAAACGCTTGCCCCCTACGAAAACTTATCAGTTTTGATACGAAAAATTCTCAAGGCCCAAGTCACTTGCTTTGGCAGCCCTGGGATAAATAACACATAGGTATCGATGTTTAGAGCAGGTATCGGTACCGATACCGAAACCTATAGATATCTAAGTATCGAGTACCTGGTATCGATACCTGCCCATCAGTACTCGCAATCACCTACTAATAGATTGACTACTTCTTCTGTCTTTTTTACTATTGCTTTGACTTTCCACTTTCCAATTCAATAGGTTACAATAATAACTAGGCTACGCATTGAAGGCAGCCGAATGATCCTGCACTAGCGATACGTTGAAGTTTGTATCTCATTGCTTATGACGCAAAGCTATTAGAATGTCTAGTTCACTTAGTAAGACCGAGGGTGATAACACCGAGCCCAATGCTGACCCCGGCATGAAGGAAGAACAAGTGGAAGCTGCAACTCCACCGCCAAGAGCAAGTGAATCAAACAGAAATGGCAAGGAGAAGCCAGAGGACATCGTTATCTATTATTTTCCTACGTCATATTCATCACAGAAGGTTGGTGAAGATCATATTGAAATTGGAATGCAGTTCAATGTCATCAGGTCGAAGTAGTTTTGGTGTGTAGGCTAAGCTAAGTATGTGCATCGTCAGATAGATTCTTGGTCTTGATTCTATAATTATTATTCTAGAATCAAGATCTAGATGTAGATCTAGATCTAGATCTATCTAGTAGGAAGCCCTCAAGTATAATTTTCTCTGTCCCCCGTCTTTGAATTGGGGAGGAGTTCTGCCGAGGGCAAACACTTACCGTGACAAGTTCCACTGAGCAAACTATACTAAGAATTAGGGTTAGGATGTGTGTTTGTCGGCCAGCCTTCTCTGCGGAACTCCGTCCTTGAATTGCATTTTTTGCATTTGATGGAGTGAGGACTGTAGTATACACAGTTTTATTTGTTTCTGGAGCCTCTGATTCTTTGTGAGTGATATATGGCACTTGGACAAAAAGTTCAAAATACTACTACCCCTATGTGTTCATACATCATTAAAAAGAGCTTTTCAAGAGCTTTACAAAGATACCAGAATCAACTTCCTATCTTAATTAGTTCAAAAGTATGATAAATTGATGATCGGAATTTACTGTCTATATGGCCTTTGTATATTAATGACTCAATTTTTGTGACCGGAATGACGGCAGCAATTCATAATATGTCTGTAACTTTTTTAAAAAGTTTTTAAATACTGCTCGGAACTGCATCATTTTTTCAGGTCCACAGCATTATTGTCTGTTATTAACAATAAGAAAGTGGCTATTCTCACCCGCCGGAAGTTCTCGCAAGATCAACTCCTCCCCTCTTCTCTCTCTCTCTCTCTGTTTCTTTCTG